TGGAGAATGAGGACACGATGAGAGTACATGATCTTCTGGAGGACTAGGCTGCTGATCACAGGTGGGTGGGGATTTGCCTTGGTGACTCAAAGAATTGGAGGAAAGATCTCTTTGATGGGTGTTCTGGCCCCGCTTACCCGTACAGGGTCGATCCAGGAAGTATACAAGGCCCTCTTTGCCTCCGAAGACGCGTCAGAACGTTGAACTTCAGCCAGCTTTGGTGGCGTCAATTCCTATGCCCTTTAGGACAAAGGTTTGGCCAGAGGCTCTTGCAGCCTGAAAAGTGTTCTGGGCGTGCTTCCCAGATGCAGTGCACTCTCGGGTTTCGGGCATGATGGAGACACAGCGAGAGCGGGCAAGATGTAGAGAGGAAGCGAAGACGAACCAGGTCTCACGACCAGCACGTGAGAGTCAACACTGTAGTGTCAACACTAGCAGCGGCGGCTCCAGGCAAGATCTAGGTTACATCGTCACAACCCCAGGAAATGGCCCTCGTCTGATTCTCTTGGATAACAGCTCAAAATGTTGGGGGAAGTGCATAGTGTATTACTGTTGATAATTTATGTACAAACAGCCTGCCCGCTGAGCGGTTAAGATGCTTCCTCTCTAATTTGCTCCGTGCCTAACAGATGAGTGGTTTGAATCTTGCAAGGCACGCTTTTTTCGTGCGTCATCTGACTTCTGTGATGAACTGTCTTTGAACATTCTTCTGTTTAAATTCCTGTTTGAACGCTCATCCGGCGTTGAACCAAACAGTGTTCAGCCGTGGTAGGCCAAGCGGGCGTGTTTGAACACAGCAATACTTAAGTCGTGATTCACGTCGAGACGCCCATTGTTTAAGCAAACTTTATAGAGATTTATTTGAATGACTACATGCCGGTGAGCCATTGAAAAGGTACATCGGCGACTAGATGGACTGCACCACTTCACATTTGAGAAGGTTCTGCTGTAGTATGGGCAGCGCTTTCACGGTCTCCACCATTTTGGCGGCGCGATCGTTGAGCTGGTCCGGCGTGAGCCCTGCTCGGGCTTTGAAGATTCCTATGGCGCGGACACGGTCTGTTCGGACGGACATGGCAGAATAACAAATGGGGAGAGTAGTTGAAATGAGGAGATGGATGTTGAAATTTCATGTACGCACCCGTGGATATTTATAGGGGCTAGGACGGGCGTGGGATCAGCATCCATATCCATGGTGATGGCTACAAATTTAGCAGCGGATTTACGAGTGGGGGCATTGGGACGTCGCGTGGATATTTATGTAGGATACGCATCACTAACACACACTCTACTGCGACGCATACAACAGCCGAGCTTTGCTCCCCGAGACGGTTGATGGTGGTATGGTGAACGATTTTAGCACAGATTCCGATGTCACCCAAACGGGAAATCTGCGCGCTTCAATTCAGCAATGAGCCGAGTCTAAGGCATCCGCGATCCTCGATATCATGAGTGCTATCGAGGGAACGAGGTCATGTCCGTGGCCCACTGACGAGAAGAATAGGTCTGTCGAAGACGAAAATTGGTGATTTTGGACGGGAGAACTTCTGAGATATTTCAATTCGTGGCATAGAGTGCGCATCGTTGTAGTAGGCATCAATGCCGATAGTAGAGGTCGGATTACGGAGCTTCCGTCGTCAAGCACAGTCCTACATCCCGTATACTCGAGGCATATGTCAGTGACTTGACGTCATGGTGTTCGGTGCCGGGAGTTTCAGACGCAGGATGGCCACCCAAAGCCGGCACCCACTGAAAATCCCGATTCCCGTCCCGGAAGTAATGGTTCGAGGATGGGGTTTGGGCTAGTATCCAATTTGACCGATTCCGTACATGGGCTTGTGACATGTCCCTGTTTCTACGGTTAGAGTTGTATGAGACGGAAATGAGAGTGAATTGAGAGTCAGGATGCTATTCACAAACAGAGTGTTAGTTGTAATTGTGCTCAGTGTACCTAGAATGTCGCCACAAATGGCATGTGACTTGCACTTCTCGTGACTGCTGTCATTTCTGCTTCCAAGACTGCTTCCTCATCAGATTTTGGGCGGTCGACTAAGTACGTATCAGGCTGACACCAGCCCTTTTTATATTGAAAAATACCACTCCCAGATTTCTTTCAGACCTGGCCTGACATTGAGTATGATTTGAGCACTCTGAGCAGCTTCACAGCTGCTTAAAAATTGTAATGGGCTGGATTCAACCTGGAATTAGCCTGAATAAATCTCATCCAGGAGCCACCGAGCTAAGCAGGACATATATGATATCCGATCCGATAACTCTGTCACACGGCCTCGCTCAAGCCAGCTCCAGCCTTCGGCGCCCGCTGCGGCGATGACACAAATTTACAAATTTTACCGACAACAACATGACAATGGAGGACATTCGTGAAAATTTTGGGAGCTCAGAGGCTCTAAGTCTTAAGAGCCAGTTCGGCTGCCAGATGCCCTTTGCATCTGGCATCTGACAAACGCAAATTTCCTTTCAAGGCTGCATGCTGCTTGTTCCCTCTCGTCACAACAATCATATCACACTTCGACAATAACAGGCGCGGTATCGTCTGGACGTCGTCTTATTCCCGCCATCGCCTCCGCCGACGGTCTGACTAGGCCAAAAAGGTTGTAAAATACTATTAGGGATCACTTAGCATTCATTAGACTGTTTTATCATCTCTCTCGAGGGCGAATGATCCTTTTTTATGGTTATATGAGCAGGCGGGACCATGGCGGGAACCCGACAACGACCCCGACACCTCCGACTCATCGTCCGTACGCCTCTTGGCAACGTCTTGATGTGACCAGGCTTGGAATTGATGTTGTTCCCTCGACTACTGCAAAAGGAAATTTGCGTTTGCCAGATGCCAGATGCACTTTGCATCTGGCAGCCGAACTGGCTCTAAATCTGTTTGTGCCCCACCGCTTGCCGGCCTTTCACTTTCATGTCAACTTGAAATAGTTATTACAACTTGCTGGCCACGTGGCTCCGCCGCGCGCTTTGCATTCGCCAAACTTGGACAGACATCGGCACAGACATTTTCCTCAGTATCTTCCTCAGGATGTCACATTCGGATCAGTGATTAGCTACATCATATGTTATTGGATGTTCAACTGTCAATGGTGATGGTACAACTGATAAAATCCATTTTATGTGCCATGATGGGGATGGTAGAAGATAGTACAGTGATACACAGGATCCGAAACCGCACAGTCGGTATGTGCAACATCTAGACTCCAACATGTATGAACGGCACCCAATGAAAAAATACTCTCCTGGATCTTTCTGACAGCCAGATGCAATGCTTCGGTCGCACGACTAGAATCTGGCGGGATTCTTTGAATAAATACTGATAAACATCTGCAGCAACTTGCGGCGCATCCTCGTCCATGATGGACCACATCGTAGCAATGACGCCACGGTATCCAGCGAGTAACATGCCAGCGGCGAGTAGAAGTGCACTCTCCGTCGGATCACCGATTTTGTGCACGCCATGGCAAGCGAAGTGCACTCAGCGAGAGTTCATCATCCCTTGCTGTACACTATGCACGGTCGCCGTCTCTTTCTCCAGTTGCAGAGCGGAGATCTTTCCCCTGGCAAGTCGTTCGATACGATCAAGCTCTTCTTGGGTCCCCGGAATGTATGCTTGGTGCTCTGCAGACGGCTGCGCAACAGCAAGTAGCTGGATTCCATCCTGTGACTCGGAACTCTCGCGAGACCGGGGAATCAACGTCATTGACGATGGCGTATAGGAGGAAATGACGAAGTCGGACAGCTTGGACCCAAAGTCTTCGCTCTCTCCATATAGACCTGCGGCCTGTATGGGAAGGAATGAACGGGGCCCCGTTGGACACCACCATATTCGTTGCAAACTTTCCCTTGATGGAATCTATACAATGATGGCGATGGCAAGTTCCTCTGAAACAGGCTTGACAGCTCAACCATGGCTCCGACAGAATTTGTGCAAACTGAACTTCCCGATCCATGTACCCCTCGCGCAGCATGATCAGCCTTTCACCCCGTCAGTGTGAACAACCTCTGTCAAGGATTCTGCCAAGCTCCGTGCCTTCTTCGAAGTCGCGAAGTGGGAGCGGCAGGACTTCGTCAAGCCCAGACATGAGGACGAGAGCGTCACATCCGAATGATCCAACGTTGAGAATCACCACAGGTCCTCCTGACGCCGCGTGGGACAGCTCGGAGATGGAGCCTATCCCGTGAATGGGCAATCTCGTGGTATCGCTGTGCAGTTGAGTGAAGTGCTTCCGCCCGCTGCTTCACCGAATCAGGTTCCACAGAACTCCCACCAGTGGCGGCACCTTCAGATTTCCTTGAGAGAGACACGAGCCTGTCTGCGAGCTCAGGATACTGTTCTCTGAGCGCATTGACTGATGTGCGAAGATTGACACCGGGGCAACAGCTCTCTGCGAAGCTCCCGCAAGTGAGGAGCCATCATTTGATTTCAGGTTCAGCCTGATCCGCACGCTCGCCGCTCCTTGCCGTTCCTGTGTGAATACATCTGCGCAGTCCGGCTCGGAAGGGAGCTTCACTATAATATATATGTGCACTCCGGTCGTCCATGGTTGTCGTCATAATTCCCCAGGACGCGGCCCACCCATCCACTGGGTCCGGTTCCCCGTAGGTACATCGTTCCCATGAGGTTGGTAAGAGAGGTAGGAAGCACCAGAGTCAGTGGTGTATGAATACACCCGACCCATGTTCCAGTACAACCTAAGTCCGGTGAGATGGGGTTCGATTCCCCGCTGATGCGTGTTATTCAAGTTGATCCCACTTTTGCGTCGAAAGGGGCACCAGAGGACGCATATAACGAGGGCCAGAATGAGGCTAGGGAGCACCAGTAGTGTATGGAACACCCACTGGCCTAATAACGGTGGGCGGTACATCGGTAGACGGGGTTCGATTCCCCCTGGTGCATTATGTCCCTGCACTGGCTTTTTTTATCGAAACTAGGAGAAGAGAGAGGCGCCTAACGAGGCTGAAAATCGAAGCAAGGAGCGCCAGTGGTGTACGGAACACACATCGGCCTAATAAAGAACCAAATCTGTTCAACCTTACGGCGGTGAGACGGGGTTCGATTCCCCGCTGGTGGATTATGTAATGAAAGCCATTTTTGCAGCACGCGCTGACGGCTAGAGAATGTTAATCCACGAATCAAGGGACGGAATGGAGGTTGTAAGTACCGGTGGTGGATGGAACACACCGGCCTGATTCGCAAAATTGCGCATATGTCCCCGGTGAGACGGGGTTCGATTCCCTGCTGGTGCATGAATGCTTCAAGTTCGATCCCTCTTTTTTCTCGTCCGATAAAAAGCTGACAACATTAAACTGAAGGTCGAAAGCGCCCGTCGTGTATAATATTCCGAAAGTTCGAACCACGCACCCCTCAGATTAGACACGCATGCGGCGGCGATATGGGCTTCGGCCCGCCTTTGACACCCATCCAATCGATTTCTTATTATTTCCGTCCCCCACGAAACAAATTCACGCATCAACTCCTGTTCTATGCGGAGCTGGGGAAGCGGTCCCACCGGGGATACGGGTGCGGGGTGACAGGGGGCCGGGTTTCGTCAATATAATTGTGGCCAAGATTGGCGGGCGGTGACAGGGAAGTAGCTGAGATGATATGCATATCATCTATGCGAGGTTGTAGAAATCACGGGGTGCGAAATTCAATTGGCTTCTTAGGAGTGGGAGTGCGGACGGCCGGGAATTCGAGGTTCAAGTTTGTCTGTAGTTTCTCGCAAATGAGGGGATCCGGAGGAGTCCTTGAGCCATCCCTTATACTGTCCTGAACCGCACAAACGGAGAGAAGGAAATGCAACCGCAACAGGTGATCGATCACACGACCCGGCAGTGCTCGGCAATCCCTGCGTGACCGTGACTCGCCTTCGGACCGACTTCCTTCCTTTCTCCCTTAAGTACCCCCGCCCGCGCCAATCGTCGGCACTCGAACATGGCGTCCCCCTCCCCCTCCCCCGATGTCCTGCACTTCGACGCCGCGCACCACGTCTCCGAGAAGGACGCCGCCGCGAAGGAGATGACCCGCAATGCAAAGGTGCGTTAGTCAGCCTTGGAGAAAAAAAAGATCTCCTGAAACGAAGCGCTGGGGGTAGAGTGCGACGGACAAGGAGCACGAGATGAGTTTGTTGCAGGGGCTGCGACTGTACCCAAAGGCCGTGGCGTGGAGCGTGCTCATCTCGACGTGCATCTGCATGGAGGGATACGACGTCTGTCTCCTTTCCAATTTCTGTGCGTCTTTTCCCCTTCTCTTCCTTGAAGCTCATCCATTATCTTCGAACAGACGCCTTCCCGAAGTTCAATGAAAAGTACGGCGAGCAGCTCGCGGACGGGACGTTCCAGGTGCCTGCGCGGTGGCAGTCGGGGCTGAGCAACGGCGCGAACGTCGGCGAGATCATCGGGCTCTTCCTCAACGGCTGGGTGTCCGAGCGCTATGGGTACCGCTACACCGTGATGGCGTGCCTCTGCTGCATCATCGCCTTCACCGCCATCTTCTTCACCGCGCAGAATGTCGTCGACCTCCAGGTCGCGGAGATCCTCTGCGGGATCCCGTGGGGGGTGTTCCAGACTCGTGCGTCGCCATATTATATCCCTGTTGAATAAACTCACACTTCGTGGGGGCAGTAACAATCACCTACGCTTCCGAAGTCTGCCCCGTCGCCCTCCGCGGCTACCTGACCACCTACGTCAACTTCTGCTGGGGCCTCGGCCAAGTAATCGGCATCGGCGTCATCAAATCCATGCTCCCACGCACCGACGCCTGGGCGTACCGCATCCCCTACGCCCTGCAGTGGATGTGGCCCGTCCCCCTCCTCGTCGGCGTCGCCCTCGCGCCCGAGTCGCCCTGGTGGCTCGTCCGCCGCGGGCGCCTCGCCGAGGCCAAACATGCGCTTTTGAGGCTGACGAGCCTGGATAGAGAAACGGAGTTCGACGCGGACGAGACGATTGCGATGATGCAGCATACGACGATGTTGGAGGAGAAGCTGACGAGGGGGGCGACGTATTGGGATTGCTTTAAGGGGACGGATTTGAGGCGGACGGAGGTGCGCTCCCTTCCTCTTGCCATACTTAATTTAACGCCCCGCAGATCGTATGCATGGTCTGGGCCATGCAAAACCTCGCCGGCAACTCCTTCACCGGATACAGCACGTACGCCTCCCTTTCCCCATTTTCATATATTTAATGTTGTGCTCATTTCGTTCGCCCCAGCTACTTCCTCGAACAAGCCGGCCTCCCCGCCGCCAAGTCCTACGACTTCGCGCTCGGGCAGTACGGCATCAACATGGCGGGCGTCTTCGGCGCGTGGGCGCTCATGGCGCGCGGCGTGGGCCGCCGCACGCTCTACCTCTCGGGGTTGGTGGGGCTGTGTGTTATACTGATGTGTTTGGGCTTCTTGGGGTTGGCGCCGGCGAGGCATCGGGATGAGGTGCGTGGACCTTTTGCCTCTCTTCTTTTTTCTGCTTCGCTGCGCTGCATTCCGCTTCGCGGGGCCGCACCTGCGGCTTGCATCGATCCGATGCGAAGTGATTTTGAGGCTCGCTGCACCGGCAATCGATTCCTCCTCCATCCCCGCCTTCCACTCCCTTTACTAACCCACCCCCAGGCCGCCCTCGCCACCGGCTGCCTCATGCTCGTCTGGGCGCTCATCTATCAGTGCACCGTCGGCACCGTCGCGTACTCGCTCGTCGGCGAGCTGAGCACGAGGCGGTTGCTGATTAAGAGTGTGGTGTTGGGAAGGAATATGTAGTGAGTGTTGTTTCTCCCACTCCGCGCTCCCAAACCCGTCTTCTCCTCACATCTACATTCATTCCTCCTATTTCCCCCTTCCCTCCTTTTACGCCCCGCTCGACTTCCCGCCTCACCCACGTCCCTCCTTGATCCCTCCAAAATCAACTCGCGCACGCACCCCACGCCCTCTCCCCCTCCCCCTCCTTCATAACCTCAAATTCGAATACCCGCCAACTAATTATCAACCCCCAGCAACGTCGTCGGCATCGTCTGCTCCGTGCTCACGCCCTACATGCTCAACCCCAGCGCGTGGGACTGGGGCAACTACGCGGGCTTCTTCTGGGGCGGGATCTGCTTCCTGTGCGTGGTGTATACGTATTTCAGGTTGCCGGAGGTGAGCTTTCCTTTCCTTTATTCCTTTTCATTCGTTCTTCTCTCTCTCTTTGTTTGATACTCCCCTCACTTTGCACTTTTGTCGCGCGAAGGGAGGCGCGCCCGGTGTCGGGGCGCGGCCATTTCTGGGCGGGCGATCGGGGGGGGGGCGGGGTTGTGGCGCTTGACGGGCGGCTGCTCTTATCCTTCTCATTCTCTCTCTTTATCCTCCCTTAACGAACCAACGCTGACGCCCCCTTCCCAGCCCCAAGGCCGCTCCTTCGCCGAGCTCGACCTCCTCTTCGAGAAGGGCGTCAGCGCGCGCAAGTTCGCCAGCACGCGCGTCGATGTGTTCGATGCCACTGAGATCCGCGAGGTAGAGAGTAAGGGGGAGAGGGAGGAGGGGGGGGAGAAGGGGGAGTGAGTGGGGACGATGAAGTGTAGTAGGTGTAGGACGCGTGAGGAGGTGTACAGCTAATGAACGAACGAACGACTGAATGACTGAGACTGAATGCATGAAGGACTGGCTGCATGATGACCCATGCGATGGTGACAGAGGGGGAGGTCGAGGGCATAGGAGGAGGAACGGAGAGCGCAATAAGCGCTGACTTTGACCGCGCGTTGATGGTCTCCGACTCACAGGCAGGACTGCGAAGGATCACTTCCACAGCAGCACGTTCTGGTCAATTCCGAGCAATCAAGTATGACCAACTCATCCGCGGCGCTCTGGACCGACTCCCTGCTCTCGAAATAACCAAGCTGTGGACTCCGGCGCATATCGGAACCGTGGTAATGAGCTTGCGGACACGGCGGCTAAGGCTTACCCCGGCCGCCTTCCGTACCCGTCTCCATCGCGACCTGCAAACACCGGATCAACGAGGCGATCATTGCGCGATGGATGACGCAATAGCGCTCCAACGTTACAGGCTGCGCCCTTCGTCATATCGACAAATCGGCCCCATCCCTAATACTCCGCTCACTCTACACCGTCTCGATCCTTCGAGGGCTGATATCCATCCTGGCTCGCCTGCGAACCGATTTCTCTAGTCTTAACGCGACGAGGGTTCGGCTACATCAGACAGACTCTCCGCGATGCGACGCCTGCGGCGGCTCCTCCGAGACCCGAGCTCACTATCTCCTCCACTGGGCGGCCTGGGATCGCTTCCGTCCCCGCTCCAATCAGCCTCATACGCCGCGGGCCTCCTAGGTGCCGCCGACGTCCCATCGCTCCTCTCCCACCCAAAGCTCCTCAAGGCCCGCATAAAGTTTATCGAAGCCACGGCTCGCTTCTCGCCGTCATGATTTTCCTTGTCTCTTCTTTTCCTTCTCATACCTTACATATACATATAGTAACCTTCCTCTCTCTTTCTTACCTACACTGGCCCGCACCAGAACGGCCGCCGTCCTCACTCAATTACAGGACCACTCGCCCCGTCATACTCACCGCACCACCGGATTCTTTCCCATTATGCTACCTACTTTCCTTCGGTCTCGTCTCTCTCGTATCACCCATATTTCCAATTCTTGATACCCCCCATACTACCTCATAGATATACTGTTGCATAGCTATATGTAGCCAGGTACGAAAACCAATGAGAGTTCACTTTTTGGCTGGGCCGAATGGCTTGCGCCTGCGTGGAATGGCTTGTTCCGGCTTGGGCTTGGATTTTGGTGGGAGGCCAACATTTCGGTTTGCAAGCCATTTTGTCGGCTTGGCAAGCCATTCCGCCGGCTTGGCACCACCCAAATAAAACATGTGGCTTGACCACATTGCGCGTCCTGGGGACTTGTACCGCTATTCCTAGTTGCACACTGACCATCCTTGACCCCTAAGTTACAGTGGCTTGAATTTAATTCTATGATTTCCCGATTAAATCACTGATTCACTGCCATCGACCCATCCAATGACCCAGTACAGATGGATCATCAACCAGAGGAGTGGCTTTTTGCCCTCACTATATGCCTATGGGAC